TCCAGTAAAAATACAGCATGAGCCAAGAATTTCTGAGCCTTTGCAAGATTTTCTACTATGCTCTTATAAAACTACTCAAAAGCTTCAAGCAACGCTTCCTCTACCAGCATTGCAAATGCTCACAATTTTTATAGTCTCAGTCTGTGCCTTTGCCAAATGCAATTTATCATCTACTTTCTTTGAATTAACTTCATTCTATGAAAGTGAGCTCATTAGTTTTACCTTTTTTCAATTTACAAGCAGTTCATAATCTGCTGTTCAAAACTTGGTAGGGCTGCTACTGAAATACTGGGAAATATCAAGGCAAAATGGAACACATACCACCATAAAGACTTCCCTAGTGCTGTGAGTACTTTTAGAAAAGAATTGTGATAATAAAATATTATCAGCTTATCATAATGTAATTTTATGTAGGATAGGAGTTATGATTCACAGACACCACTAGAGATCAGTTAAGATTCCAGCCATGTGCCCAGATTTTTAAAATTTTGTAGCTTGAACTTATTAAGTTTATGTTGGTATTAACAGCTGAGCAGAGATTCAACTTAGCAATGAATTGAATTTTACACTGTGCATATTCTTTGTGGGCCATTTTATTAATGTGAAAATGCACATTATTTATTTTTTTTTAATTCACAACTGTTTAATAGCTTGGGGTTTATTTATTTTAGGTAGCAGTGTCACCAACACTGTTGAAATATTTTTAATAGGTTTCCAAGTAAACCAAAATGAGATTTGCATCTGCAGCTCATATTGAGATTGTTCTGCTTTTCTTTCCTCAGTCACTTAGCTGTGTCTTAAATGTTGAGAAATCAGTGCAAAAATGCCTTTTATAAAATATTTAGCAATACTTTTCATGCCCACTAAAAATGTGAAGCCCTTGAGGTTCCAACTCACAAGAATTTTCATGTACACATAATTTTTTGTAGACCCTCTACAAACATATAGGTGTGTGTTTGACAAATTGAAATTAGATGGGAATGATTAACAGGGATCATTTCATGTAAATAGGAAATGCCAACGGCACAATGTTAAATATCACAACACAAGAATTAAGGGCATGAAGCTGATTGCCTATGCAATTAAAAGTTTAGGAGACAAACTATCTGATCTGGAACCTGGCCAAGGCATCTTGACTAACAAGGCTGCTCCTGCAAAAAAGTGCCAGAGGAATTCTGATACCCCTGTGTGGTCAAGATTTCTGCTTTGTCTAAATTAAGCCATCTCAAAACATAACACTGCCATATATAAAACCCCATGCCAACATTTGGCAAAGCACTTCTTCTGTTCAAGCATTTGTGCTGGGGAAGGCTGACTAAATACAGCATCAGGGCAAACAGTTTTGAAAGCATTTATTTTGAATTTCATAGGAAGCCAAATGCTGTGCAAATCCCGTTCTGCGACTGAAATTTGCCCCCTGTTCATTTATAGTACTTTCATGGAAGTCAACAGGAGGACTGGTACCAGGTCTATAATATACTGTAAAGACTTTAAAACATCTTATAACTGGTTGTTAAAATGACAGCAATTTGAGAGCAGTGATTGGGGGTTGAACTCAGCTTATGTTCTGCTTCCATCTGTTGAAGATGGAAAACACACACAGGATTGCACACATAATCCTGAGAGACAAATACTCTCTTTCACCTGTACAGTTCAGCATTTAGACTTGGCTCTTCTGCCTTATCTGTGAATCCCAGGTGTGCTCCTGAATCCATCAGGTTCCATCCTGTCAGAGCCTACATCTACTGAATTAAACAGGACTTCTTACATAACTGAGGTTGTACATTGGTGGACAAACAACCCGTGCACCTCACCTGAAGTTCTCTCTCTCATGCAGAAGCCTCACCCCCGGGGCTCAGGAGGGGCAGCTGCTGCCTCAGGACCCAGGGCAGTCCCTGAGGTCACTGTGCAAACCCAGCCAGCAAACACTGAGAAATCAAAGGCTTTATCTCATGAGGATGGTGAGACAGCTTTGAAAGAGCTCCCGTGGCACTGCACTTCCCTGCATCCCAGTGCTGCTCATGGATGCGCTGCACAAGTGATGGCAAAAGCAAATCCTACAGAAAGGCACCTGGAAATGTGAAGGCAGGACATACCCTCCTGTTAGATGTTTTAAAATGCCTTTGGAATTTTAGCTTAGGACCTCTTTAGTATTCCTGTGTTGTGAGGCTTCACTTAGAAACCAGTAAGGAGAAAATCTAAACCTAGGTATTTGGAATAAACAAAGTGATTTTCTGGCTTTTGGAAAAAAAAAAAAAACCCAACCAAACAACAAACCTAATCTGTACTGTAAACAAAAAATTAAGAAGAGATACACACATTATGGCCTGATGTGGTAAAGTACTTTCAGTGGTGGACTTCAGCAGGGCTTAAATGCAAAGTATATTTCATCTACACTTGCACAGTTTACTGAGCTTAGTCAGAAATTCCCCACTGAAGCTGAGAATGATTGATGCCTCTCCAAGATAGGTAAAACCCCAATCTCTGTAATTATGCTTATTACCTTGTTACGGTTGTTAAGGTTCTCCCCTTTTAGAAGTATTCCAAGAATTAGCTGACTTACAGCAGGTTATTAGTCAAACAGGGGCTCTGCAAGCTTCTTTTAAAATAAGGGGACTATGGAATTAATTCTGCAGATTTTACTTTTATATCTGAGAACAGAAGAGTCGCAAAAAGGGAATGACTACTGGAATTCTAAATCAGATCCTACATTTAACCCCAATAATTTCAGAAGAGCGATTGCTCTAAGGCGTGCAGGATCAGGTGTTGGATATTGGCCCATCACTTTGCATTTGGATGTACCCAGTGCAGTTTACCCAGCTAAACACCTTCTCTTCAGGAACTGTAAGCTCTATTAAGGCCTCAGTGCTTTAAAAATCAGATCATTTTTGCTTAGGAGTCCAGGGTGCTGACCTATGTGTCTGACTTGATCCACCCAAACTGGGATGGGTTTATGGTTCACCTTATTTTAGGTAATAGCAAATAGCTCTTCCTAAATTAGTAAAAGTCTTAGAAGAAGTCTTGGATAGTAAGAAAGAACCTATAATGCTTAAAATGTGCTGACATTTTTCTTTTTTTTTACATGTATTTGTATGGTAACTTAGCCTATGTTCTAACACGGTTTAATCAACATTACAGTAGATCATCTCATTGCAAAGAAATGAGCTTTTTATTGTCTTTGCCTGACTCACTTAAAGGATCTAATTAAGGATATACTAAACATGAAAATCTCTCCTAAGGCTTTAAGCTTTGTAGATGTTATCTGAAGCTCATTAATGCTTCCTGTTAGGACAAAAATATATTCAAAAGTTTGGATGATGAACCGAGGTGGGCTTTTGTTTTTAAAAACTGTAAGTGTATTCAACAGGAATAGAATTTTTACTTCAGTACGGCTTTTAAGAAAATTTGGTTATAATTTATTTAATTTCTTTATATATATATATAAAATTTATTTAATTGAGCTAAAAAAATAAAAATATTTTGAAAGAAGAAATTAAAGTGTACATCAGTCACAACATATTTGCATGTTTTGACCTTATTTCCTATTGCAAGTTTGACTTCAATCTTTAAATGACTCACAAAATTTACAGTGCTGTGAGACACCTCAAGATTCCATTAGATTCCCTTTTACAAAGTGCTGTATGTTTACTGAAATCTTGCAAGATGTCACTCACAGCAAAGAACATCTGCTTTCTTAAGGATGTAAATACCTATTTGGCAATGTCCCATTCAGCAGCATTATTTATAGGACTGGTTTTGTGTTTTAACCTTATTATCAGAAACAAACGGTAACATGCATACTCCCTCTATTGATTACATCTCCTGTGAAAACCTGTTTGCTCTCCTGTTAAGCAGTGTTATGTCACATTATTTATCACTGCCGCGACCAGATAACTCAAACATGAAAGAGTAACCGGTGTCATTCAGCTCTGGAAGGCAGTGCTGGGTCAGAGTCCTGCCTTAACTCCTCTGTACTGTGCCCAGCCCGGGCTCTGACACTCCTGCTGTCCCCAAGACCGCTCAGCCGGGGTTTAAATGCTGTGCACACCCAACACAAGTGGTCAGCTCGCACCTCCCGAGGCTGCAGCTCCCCTCTGAACAGCCTCGGTGCTAACACCACACGCAAGGCTGGTGCCTGATAAAAGCATTTGATTGCTCCTGGCAGTGAACACCAAGCCAGATTGGGTCAAAGCAAAGGGATGAATCTGGGAGATCAATGAAAACCTTTACTCCACTTTGATAGTTCCTCCTTCAAAACAGACCTGGCTTTCCAAGGAAGAGCCATGTGAAGGAGAGCGGGAGTCAAGGTTAAAGCCATCAGGTCCAAGGCAGTGGAATGTTTTTATCAGGGAGGGGTGTATTCTGCCAAGGCAACAGATCAGTAGGATCATCAGACAAGATTTCTGCCTAAAATCTTGAAGTCTCTTTGCCATGTGTTTGAATTCATTCTACAAAGTCATTCCGTGGCTTAGCAAAATTAATCCTCATCCCGTGTGGGGAGGGAGGAATAGAAATTCATCACCTTTAAACACAACACACTGAGCAAATCGACAGTTTGAGTGTGTTGTGAAACCTTTGCAGATTTTGAAAAGCAAGTGCTCTGTCTTTTCCCTTATTGTTTGCCCTTCACTTGACATACAGGAAGAGATGCATCAAGAGGATGGCAGGAGACATGTGTCACTTAAAGCATGCCATAACAATGTTTGCCCTGGAATACTCCCTTGGATCTGTTTGAACAAGCAGGCATCACACACGGAAAAACACACAGAGAACTTCACCTAGTTACAAAGTTGACAGAACCCCTTTGCCATCCACCCCCGCCGAGCAGCGCCAGCCCCGGGCACGCCGCTCCCTCCGGCCCTGAGCGCCACGGTCACACCGTACCAGGTCACTTGTTGCACAGTGCCAGGGTGGCATCTCCCCTCCGCTCAGCCCACCGAAACTTCCCGGAGCCGCGTTCCCCGGAGCCCGCCCGGAGCCGCCGGTGCGCGGCCGCTTACCTGCATGTGTCCCTGGTACATGCTGCCCGGCCCCCGGCTGCCCTCAGGCCGGCAGTCGGCTCCGCGCTGCGCGGGGGGCACTGCTCCGGCCGCTCCACTACAAGAAAGGAAAAAAAAAAAAAAAAAAAAGGGAAAAAACAAAAAAAAAAGCAAAACGGAAAAAAATAAAAAAAGCCTAACCCTGAACGAGCTATTTTTGGCTAAATAGCAAAATTTGTCCTGGCAGCTCCTGTACTGGTTTTAGTAAGCCAGAGCTGTTCGGCGCCCTCCTCTCGCCTCGCTGCCTGCTTTCCCCCGTGAGGCGGTGCCGGCGCTGCCCAGGGCAGTGCTCGGGGGCGCTGGGCAGGCGGGCGGACCCGGGCAGGGCTGCGGGCGGCCGGGCGGGGAGAGCCGCGGGGCGGAGCGGGGCCGCCGCTGCTGCCGGGCCTCGCCCGCCCGCCCGCGCCGTGCCTCGTCCCGCGGCAGCCGCCCCGGCCTGGCGGCCCCGGCCCCGGCCGCCCTCCCCCGCCTCCCTCCCGCCGGCAGCCCCGGCCTCCTTCCCGCCCCCCTTCCCTCCTCCTCCTTCCTTCTCTCCTCCCTTCTTCCCTCCCTCTCTCCCTCCGCAGGAGGAGCGCGCAGCATCCAGGGAACGCGCGGAGCCCCGCGGCCGCCGGGCGGGTCCCGCTGCAGCCGCGGAGCCCCGGCCCCACCGCCCCGCCAGGGCTGGCGGCTCTCGCTGCAGTCATTAAAAGAAAAAAAATACAAAACAACACGGAAAAAAAAAAACCACCCCACAAAAAACCTGCTAAGCATCACAGCAAAAATCGGAGCGTCCCGGAGGCAGGACCCGGCAAAACCCGGCTGTGGCACCGGGTCGAGAGTTTCGCTCCCCGGGTGGAAGCGGAGGGGGCGCGGAGGGAGCGGCTCCGGCGCGGGCGCATCCCGGAGCGGAGCGGGAGCGGCAGCGCCGCGCTCTCGGCCGCGATTAACCGGGTTTCAGCGAAAGGACCGGGCCCTACCTTGTGCTCTGCGTATGGAGAGCGAACGTGGTCTCTTGCGATTCCCAGAAAATGTCAGGAGACTCTTGTTCTGGCTTGGTAGTAGCGCTTAGTAGCGTTTTTCAACGCTTGCCAAAGACGCCGTTATATAGGCAAAAATCTGGCACCGGCCCGTGCGTGCAAAATTCTGACCTTGTAAACTGGCACAACAGGCCTGGCTAAATCCTGAAGGAGACACCTGCATCATCTTGGATCCAGCTTTTTTCTCTACTTTGCCGCCTCAAACCTGAAACTCCCCATCTGCTAAAAGGAGCAGCTGCTTCAATTTCATCGTAAATTTCTGTCCTACCCAGTGTGTCTATATTCAGTAGCACAGAAAACCTCCAGCGCCTGGAATTTGCTAGATTGTGTAATTTCTTGGCTCTGAGCTCTCAAGTTTCACTATTAAACTACACTAAACTTTATGATGCTTTTGATAGAGCAATCCAGCCTTAAGCATGCTCCTGTACTAGAGCAATGCAAAATAGATTTCTTATCCTGAAAGCAGCACATTTGTATCATCACAGCTCTCATTTCAGCTGACTAAAAAACCTTTTTGAAGTGTTCCCATTCAGCTAAAAAAAAGGGGGTTTGCAGAACATGAGTTCGGAAAGTCTTCAGTGATGGCATAAGCAAAATCTATCCAATTATTTTTTTCACTTAGGCTTAAGAGTTTTATCTTTTAGATAAATAGCAAAAGTGGCAGTTCTCTTACATCCAGTGAATACATATCCAGCTCACTGAGATTTTCAGAGCAGCCGAGGAGTTTAGCCATGTATTGGTGACAAAAGGAAAGAAGAAATGAATATTTTTTTTTGTCTAAATCCCTTAAGCTGCTTTGAAAACCTCAATTAGGAGCTGATGAGCTTAAAATACATCTTTGGGATTGTCCATACATGTTAGACATATATTACTGTAAAATTTCACAAAGGGTGACTGCACTTAGGTGAAACTATCAGATTTGAATCACCATGGTTTCACTTTTTGTGCTCAATTTATAGGTTTAGATCCAGGTGAAAACAACCAAGTTCTATTTAAACTTGGAGCCCTGATGTCTTTGCTGTTTGTTGAGATTTATTAGACTCTTAAGCTTTTAGTAATCTTGAAGGTGCAATTTTTCACTCTGACTAGAGTAGATCCAGAGTGTCCATTCCTGTGTCAGTGTGCAGGTTTTCTATAGTAGCTAAATGTTTCTAAGGCACTTGAAAATATCTTTTCCTTACTGTTTTTTTATTGTTATTGTTGTTTTAAGTCTGAGGCTCTTGTGTTTTTCTTAGGGGTAAAACTGGGGGAAATTTGTCAATGCCAGTGTGTAGCAATATCTCCTTTCTCTAAGTCTAAGTATATGTATTGTAACTTAAATTTTTTCTACAGGGTATAAAAATCACACATATAGTAGAAGAGTTGTTAATTTAGCAATGGTTATTCATGCTGTGTTATTTGTGAGCGCAGAACAAACATTGGTAGAATTTGTCAGGATCCAAATGCTAGAAATTAATAGTGTAGTGTGTTACAGGCATTTTTCCTAATGCATCTGAAGCACGATTCGTTGCACAATTTGTTGATGCAATGGCATGTTGATGTCACATTTTGGCAGGATTTGAGTGATCCAGTAAAGCCAGACAGATCCAGCTTTTGCCTTTTTCCTTAGCAGGGCTAAATCTCTTGGCAGTGGCCAGGGAGGAAGCTGGCAGAGCAGCAGTGGGTGCAGAGCAGAGATGGAGGGAGAGCTGTGCAGGGACACAGGGGCTGCCAGGGGCTCCTCCTGCTTCAGAGCTGGTCCTCAAATGTGGTTCAGCCCAAGGCACAATCTCACAAGGGCTCTGCTTCCACAGGTGTGAACTCTGCCTCTGCTCTCGCTCTTCACAAGAAGAGGCTTCAGTGAGACTGTTTCTCTCTCCATCTAGTCCTAACCTGCAATCAATCTATGATCCTTATTGCTCAGTTACTTAAAAAAGGCAGTGCTGGGTGCCACAGAAAGCATTAATGTGTAATTCTGTACCATGCTTATAAAGGCAAGTTCTTTACAGCTTAGAAACAGGTGAGTGCCAGGATCCATAATCTTCTCTGACTCTGCTCTGTTTGTGAATGTGAAAATCTGTTTTGTTGCGGGGCATAGATAATCGCACAAGGTTCACTTGCTTTAAAATGCTTTGAAAACTTTTTTCTTTTGTGTTCCCTTTTGGTCTGTCTCTGTGGCTGCATTAATATTTGAACCAGTGATGTCTGTGTGCTATGATCTCTCTAAGCTTTGTTGTTTGTTATGGCAAAAATGGAAAAAAAATCATGGTAGAGAATATGAAAGTCATAATGTTTGTTAAGAAAAAGAAAAGTCACCATATGGCTCAACAGATTTTAATTAATATTAAATTGCCAGGGGAAATTTTGAGAGAAGTCAAATAAAAATCCTTTATTTTACAAATAAATGCTCAGATTTTGTTTTTGAATGCATTGCTGGGGCAATTGGGACTATTGGGAAGTTGAAAGACAGTAATAGGAGGGCCCTCTCAGAAATACAAAGTGCACAAGGTGATTTTGGAGAAGCTGGCAGCTACCTAGTTACTGTCAGAACCCTGACACTTACCTACCCCTGGGAGGTGGTAGAGATTTCATTCCTTTAGACCTTACTGATATTTCTGTCATCCTGTAAACTTAAAATACTCTTAAATCACTGACTGTGAAGCTGCACACAACCATTTCTATAGATTCCAAGTTAAGAACACTTATTCTAACATTCTTCATTAACCCAGTGATGGGAATGGCAGGGTCTGGGATTTCTACTCTAAGAAACCACATGGCAAGGGTACGTCCTGATTTTTATTAGGGAAATCTTAAACATGAACAGATAAACAGGCCTGCAGACTTCATGTAGAAAAGTGAAAATGTCCTCGATGTGTTGTGTGCAAAGAAGTGTTCAATGCGAGAGTTGGAAATGCAATTTGAGGAGGATGAGTTGTAGCACTGGAGGCTCGGAGGGGCCACTTTGGGGAACTTGTGCCTCTGGATGCCCAGCAGGTGCTGTACCCATCACTCAAGGATGCTTCTCAGATCCCTCTGAATCTCTGCTGCTTCTCAGGTGTGACAACAGGTTGTGCTGCCAGCATCCAACAATAGCACATGTTTGCTCATAAAGACACAGATTTGCTGCTTTGTTCAATAATAGGTTAATGTTCTGGTGCATGTATGTTGTATAAGACATCAGTCTATTAGCTCATGTAACCATGGAGATAAGTAATTTGCGTACATGGAAACTCTTTGCGTTAATTTATGCCTAGTGCCTATATTTTGTTAAGAAATAGATTTTTACAAACATTATTATTAATAAATATTTTCGTTAATGCTGTTTTCTGCTAACTGAGAATAATCGGCCTAATTTGTGAAAACATGGAGCTGATTAAAAATTAACTACTGAAAATAACCTAGCTTATTCTTAGACTCAAGTGAGGTTGCAAAAAACTGTCAAAATTAATATATTAATAGTGTTAAACTTTATCAATAACATACAATTAGGATTTGTAATATTGTTAGTTCTGACAGATTCTAATTACACTTTATACTCTGTTTTTTAGTGGCAGTTATAAGGTGTGAAAGGTACAACCACACATTAGTGGAAGTGCTAATTATATTATGTGTATTTACACATTCCTTTCCTATGCTAATGTGTTTGTATATGTTTAGGGAATACGTATAAAGAAGATTCTTGAGATCCTTTACGTGCTTTAATGAATAATAAATGTGAACAAGACACAATCCAAAATTAATTTTAAATTCTAAAAGTTTTGCTAATGATGCATATACAATGTTTAATTAACAAGACTCAGTGTAGAAACCACCAGCCACAGTAACAAATGACAATTAGGGTGTAGATAGTGCGAGTAGAATACTAACAGTATAATTCTTCATTATGTTGGAGTCACACCACTTTTATTTGCCTGCAGCTCTGTATCTGTTAGTAAATACACCAGTTTTATTCACGTGCAGCTCTGTATCTGTGATGGAATCTGTGAGCAGCTACTGAGAGAGGATACAAGCCATGGTCAGAGAGCACTGAGAGAGGATACAAGCCATGGTCAGAGAGTAACACATCATCCACATCAAATCATCAACCAGGAGAACAGGAAATTGGCTCCCAGTGGGTCTGTCCTGCCTTTACCCCGCGTGGTTGTGTTTCTTAGCACCATAGTTACTGTTTGTGCAGCCACCCAGTCAGCTCTAGCACAGGAGGTTTTCTTTGTTTGCAGAGGAGCTGGTTTGGATGTGTAGTGATGCTGTTCTCCACACAGAAATGCTTCATGCAGGAGGGTTCATCTGCCAGTGTAGACAAAGAAAAGAGGAGAAATCATGGCTTTGCACTCTCACCAGCCACCTGACTGCAGATCCCAAGAAGCTCCATGTCAATGGCCAAACAGCCATCCTTGGAAGTTTTCCTGAATTTGGACCCCGGTGCGTGTCTGCTGAAATCAATACAACCTTCCGCTGACTCCATTGAACAGAGTGCATGGATAGGGGCCTCATCTACAAGTGCTGCAGACTTGTAACCCCACCATTTCTCATCTACGGAGTAGGAAAAGGTTTCATGGAAGATCTAGAACCCCCAGAGATACACTGGTCCTGCAGCTGGTGTGACTGCAGTGTAGCACAAATGTCTTTGGGTTGATTCTGCAACCCCATTGAAAGTCTCACAATGCTGGAAATCCACAACCCAACAGATAATCAGCTCCAGTTCTTAACTATCCTACTATTTGAGTTTTTACTATTGACCTTATTTAAACAGGCACTGATGAAGTTTATGCCCTTTGTTCTGTTTGCTTTAGACAAAATTGATGTGAAGAAGGATATGTTCCATTTTCTTTTATGGCTTCTCTGTACACATTTTAATAAAATTACTGCATCTTCCTGTAATTTTCTCTTTTCTAAAAGAGTAAGCAATGCTAGGTCTTTAAACCTTGTCACACAGGTTGGGTTTTCCAGATCTTGATCATCTCTTTTGTTACTTCTCTTAGACAGGTTTACTTCAGTAATGACCCAAACTGGACAAGTACCAGAAGAAATTCTTCATGTGTGTTACATGCAGTATTTCTGTTTCCACATCTCTCTGTGGTGTTGCAACACCAGGATCCTGTTGAGTGGTGTTAATCTTGTGATCCTGTTACCTCTGGTGATATTACTGAATCATTTTCTTAGCCACTGTGGTTTTTGT